CGACTAGGTAAGCCTAAATTGCAAAAAAGAAATCAAGATTTGCGGAAGTAAAACAATTTTAAAACAGAAATAAGAAATAACCAGTGGTAGAATGTGCCGCTCGGCATACACAGTATTTAATTCTCAAAAACCAATACATAAATCCAAGACCCGGAAACCCATGAATCACAAGCAAGAAGTACTACATAGCTCTAACTCCAGAATGTCTAACAAGAACTGAAATACAGAAGGGCTAATGCTAAACAGCAGGAATAGAAAGAGACTCCTCGGTCTGCGGACGCGGCAGATATACCTCGAAGTCCCGTAGAATCACCTCGCCTCAAGAATGGTAAGCCTGAGTAGAGGTACCTGGATCTGCATATGAAAAACATGCGCAGGAAGGGCATGAGTACACCACAGCGGTACTCAGTAAGTGCCAAGCCTAACCTCGGTTGAGTAATGACGAGGAAGGTCAGGTCCCTACTGAGGTTAAATAAGATATAAGGTTTAACAGTGTAAAATAACAGTGTAAATAAATAACACAAGATATAAAGGACGGCAACAACTATCACAGAGGCAGGTAAAACACAGTAAAAGAACACAACTCAGCTCCAAGATAACAACCGGGGATCTCCCAGGATACCGTCCTGTAGTCCCCAAATATAAATATCATCTCCAGTGGATCTCCCGGGTGCAGTCCCCTAGTCCAACGCATAAATGTGCAGGGAGATCTCCCGGAATACAATTTCGTAGTCCCAAAGTAAACATACAGGGGAGCTGCCAGGATACCGTCCCGTAGTTCCAAAGTAAAAGTGCAGGGGGATCTCCCCGAATACCGTTCCGTAGTCCCAAAGTAAATACACAGCAACAACAGGAAATCAATCCAATCAATTTCATATCAAAGTGAAGCAGGTAATCCTAACCTAGCATGATTTACGTAATACAATTAAGGCAGTTAAGGCAAATAGAGCAATTGAGTCAAGTAGACATGTTTCTCTAAGCTACAGCGGGTTTAATGTCCAAACAGTGTAAGCAAGAGAAGGAAGAACACAATTCAAGGCTATTTTTAAAGAAAAACCGGGTTTCCAACAATTAGCACAAGTACGCGTTCGTCACCTCACGTACGAGGCATTTTAATTACCACAATATAAATCCTAAGGGGAAAAGTCCCCCACACAAGGTTAGACAAGCCACTTACCTCGAACAAGTGCAAGTCAACCCGAAACCACGCCTTTGCCCCGAGTATCCGACTCCAAATGGCCCAAATCTCAATGAAGTTCCCTTGAAACCCCTCCTTCAAATCGCCCAAAAAGCTCCAAAGTCGAGATAAAAATGGTGGAAATAACCCCAAGGTCGCGGAACTCCTTTTAAATCACTGTCCAGCAGTTTCTGCATCTGCGGCCTTGGGACCGCTTCTGCGGTCCCGCATTTGCAGACCAAAGGTCGCACCTGCGACCCCTCACTTGAACGCCAGATTCCGCATCTGCGGCTCCTCGCCCGCAGGTGCGGTACCGCTTTCTGCGGTTACTGATGAATCCCTCCTTTTTCCGCTTCTGCGTCTCTTCTACCGCACGTGCGACATCGCACCTGCGGTTCCCAAACTGCAGGTGCGGAAATACCAGAAGCAGCAAAGTTCAGCAGCTGCAATATACCTCAAAACTCCCCGTCAACAAACCAAAATCATCCCGAGGCTCCCGGGACCTTAACCAAGGGCACCAACAAGTCTAATACCACTCCCCAAACTTGTACCAATCCTTAAAACACCTAAAACAACATCGAAACCTCAAATTAACCATGGATTCAAGCCTAAGAACTCCAAATTTCTCAAAATACGCTTTCGATCAAAAAGTCTATCAAACCTCGTCCGAATGACCTGAAATTTTGCACACACGTCCCAAATGACATGACGGAACTACTGAAACTCTCGGAATTCCATTCCGACCCTCGGATCAAAATCTCACTATCGAACCGGAAACTTCAAAATTCGACCTTTCGGCATTTCAAGCCTAAATTAGCTGCGGACCTCCAAAACACAATCCGACCACGCCCCTAAACCCGAAATCACCTAACGAAGCTAACGGAACCATCAAATTTTCATTCTGAGGCCGTCTTCACACTGTCCCGACTACGGTCAACTTTCCAACACTTAAGCTCTCATTTAGGGACTAAGGGTGTGTTTGGTATGAAGGAAAATATTTTTCGGAAAATATTTTCCAATTTTCCCATGTTTGGTTGGCTTAAATGTTTTGAAAAATATTTTCCTTATCAACTCATTTTCCTCCAATTGGAGGAAAATATTTTCCTTATCAAAAGAAGGGAAAATATTTTCCAAAACTCCTTCTCAACATTCCCCACCCTCACGAATCCACCCCCCTC